ACAGCTCTGCCACCTGCTTGCTATGTGAACCTGGGCAAGTGCTTCCCCTTTTCAATATCTTCTTCTATAAAATGGGGATAATAAAAGTAACATTCCCTTAAGGTATGCTGTGTGGATCAAATAAGCAAATAATTAGTCCAGGACACAGAACATAGGTGGTATTTTTTTAAAAAAGTATAATTATTATCTCAAAATCAAAGCTGCCCAGGACTCTAGCCCATTTGTCTTTCTGTCTGGCTTCTCCTCTGCACCTCCAATTGCCTGCGTCACTTCTCACCACTCATCACCCAGGAACTCCAGGACAGAAGACAGCTATTCTGTCAGTCCTCCCGGCCACCAGCATGTGGAAAGAGAAGGCGGGAGTGGTGAAGCAGTTTCAAAAAACAGCCTGGAGCAGACTCCAAAGCCTGGTCCAACCCAGGGGTTGAGCCTCACAGCAGTTGGGGCATTTTCAGTGACATTCTCCCATTAGCGACCAAAGCTTGCCTGATTCACAGCCACTGCTGGGCTGTCTTTATGCAATGAGCTTTTCAGAACACCCTGCAGAGCTCAGTGCTGAGCCAAGAGCTTTGAGGACTGGAGATGAAGCAGCTGGGAGGAGGAAAACGACAGAGCCCGCTTCTCAGGGCCTCACCCCAAATCTCCAATGAAGGCCAAGGTCCCGCCCCCTGCTGCACGGTCACTAGCTGTGTGGAGCAGTCTCTCTCCTGTTCCTTCTCCCCCCTTATTGGCACATGTCCCCCGAATCAGTTCCCCTAGCTACTTGCTGTGTGACCTTGGGCAAGCTCTCTGTGCCTCAATTTCTTCATCATAGAATGAAGGTGATAACACGGGTGTTATAGTACAAAGTGGGATCACAAGATTAAATGAGTTAAGAATCGTCAAGTTCTTAGACTAGAACATAACACAGGCTAAGCACTAAATAATCACGTGTCGCCTAATGATGTTTCAGTCAGCACTGGACCCCATGTATGACTGTAGTCTCCAAATCAGCCAGATCACGTAGCCCAGATGGGTATAGGCGATAATGCCTAGATTTCTGTAATTACTCCATGACATTTCCAACAACAATGAAATAGCCTAACAATACATCTCTCAGACTATATATATATAGCTTGTTGTTAAGCAACATGTGATAATGTATGTTAGCTATGGTGTTACCGTTATTGCTGTTATTATGGGGGCCTGGAATCCAATCATCTGGAGATAGCTTGGTCATCTGCCTGGCCTAGGTCCCACTCGCTCAGCTCACTCACGTGGCAGAGCCCTGGGCGTCCTGCAGCTCTTTGCAATAAACCCCAAGAAACTGGGCTTTCACTCCATGGTGTAGATGAAGAATACATTTACAATAGAAAAATGACTTCCAGGAATTATTACCCTCATCAAATACATGCTTCAGAGTTAAATGTGGTTAGGCCCTGCTAAGTCTTGCTTTTTAGGGTCATAAAAATTCACAAATTGAAAAAATGATATCCATTAACTTACTTTTGTCACATCAGAGGAAAAGCTTCTACTAAGGTCACTTTATTTTTTTTTTAAAGATTTATTTATTTATGCGTACAAGAACTGGGTTTGTGTAAGCCAGCAGTGCGAGGGTGAGAAGATTCACCAGAGACAGAGCGGGGAACAGAACAGACAGACTGACTGAAATACACTGCTGAGGGGAGCAGTGGGCAAGACAACAGAGGTCTGCTGTGCCATGTGGGTTACTCCTGGGCTGACGGGATCGAACTCATGCTGCAGTGGCTGGCAGTACCTTAATAGCGCTGTCTTTAACCCCTGCGTCACCAGGGAGGCCCTACTAAGTCCACTTTGTTTTAATCCACAGGTGAACCCCAGGACTTGGACCTAGTCACTTAGCTTGATCGGAGTGGTGAACACCAATTGCTGTGTGTCTGTCCCGCGTCAGCAAGTTTTATCATTCCCATTTTACACAGGAGGACACTGGGAAGCAGAGAGAGGAAGCAATTGCTGTTCATGGTCTCCTGAGGCCAGAGTCTAACCAGGTCTGTTGGGGTCCTGGGCAGTTCTCTCCTCCAAGATCTTGTGGGGAAGCAACAGAGAGAGGACCCACCTTTGTGTTCAGAGCCTCTCTCTGACACTCCCCACAAGTCAGTGGGGGCTGAGTGTGGAGACCAGCCATCATTTCCACAACCAACTCTAGCTCAAAAGTCTTCTCACACACAGAACCCTTCCTTAGTGTCTTCCCGCCCAGGAACTCCCTAGGGTCAAAAAGGTGCCAATGATGTGGCTGTGTCCACCCTGCATCAGGACTTGCCTGGGCCATCCACAGAAGAGCAGCTTCCCCTTCCTGCAATCACACCCTGGATGAAACTGAGAACATGACTCCTTGTCTGGAGAACAGTCAGCACTAGAGCAAAAGCAGGTAAGCCTATCCTGTCATCGAATGGAAGATGCCACAAGTTTACATCACATGGCACTCTGGCCTCCCCTTGCTTTCCGGACTTGGGCCTCCAGCTTCAGTCCATCTGAAAATCACTGCCAGTAGGGAAGAGCACGGAGCACCTCAAGTTTCAGTCCCACAAAGTTTCTCCAGACATTCAGAGGATCCAAGAATTCAAAATGCCCTGAACACAACTGTCCTTTCCCACCCAACACCCCCTCTCCGGAAGCACACCAAGGAGGTCACCATGGCTTGACTTCTCCGGGTCTATCACACATGGTGGAGTCCCTGCAATCTTGTTAGCATCTTACGTTTGTACCTGAAAACCAAGAAACAAATAAAACCCAAGTATAAATCAACCCAAGAGGTGCTCTTTTTTTGTTGCACCTGAGAAGTAGTAGGCTACTTCTAATGAAGCTGAACATCTTTTTCCTAGTTACTGGCTACCAGAAACTCATTGAAGTAGACGAGAAACATAAGCTTCTTATCTTTTATGAGACACCTATGGCCACAAGGTTGCTGCTTTGGAAATGGAAGGCTTATGCGGTCTGAATCAGTGGCAGTAATGACAAAGTTTCCCCACAAAGCAGGAGTCTTGACTCAATGTTGGGTTTACCTGCTGCTGAGTATGGGGCATTCCTGTTATAGACCAAGGAAGACTGGTGAAAGAAAAGGCAAAACAAGCTGAGCGTTCTCAACTTGGTCATTGTAAAAAAGGAAGAGAAGGACATTCTTGGACTCACTGACATTACTATGCCTCGCTGCCTGGGGCCCAAGAAAGCTAGCCAAATCTGTGAACTTCAATCTCTCTAAAGAGGATGGTGTCCTCCAATCTGTTGTGAGAAAGCCCCTGAACAAGAAGGTAAGAAATCCAGGATCAAAGCACCCAAGATCCAGCATCTTGTAACTCCATGTTTTTCCAACAAAAACATCAGCGTATCACTCTGAAGAAACAGTGTAGTAAGAAAAGTAAGGAAGAAGCCATAGACTACACTAAACTTTTGGCCAAGAAAATGAAGGCCAAACAAGACTGCCAAAAGATGGAGGCTGTCTTCTTTGAGAGCTTCCGTCTGAATCCAGTCAAAAATGAGATGTTCTAAAAATACCATATAAGACATTAAAAAAAAAAAGAAAATCCAAGAGAAAATCCGCCTCAGGGCCCAACTGTTAGCTCGGTTACCAACGTAAGCCTTTAATCCTTCTTTTATTATTGTGACACCATACAAGACCTCACAGCAGCTGTGAAAGGGACCTGATACTGTCCCATTTTACAGATGAGTAAAGTGAGGTTTACTCACGAGTGACTCACCAAAAATAAAACCACTGAGCCTTGGAGATGCAACTGGAAAAAAGCACATCAGATTCCAGAGCCTGGCACACCAAGTCCACCCTTCTAGTGTGGTGATCACTTCCCGCAATTAAATTTTCCAATTCCATTAAAAAACCAATTCAGCACTGGAGTTTGCCTGGTCATCATGTCTAGGAAGGGTCCAGGCATTCACCACACTGGGATGACTAAACCAGCCCAGCTAGGGGCACACTCATCTACTCCTAGATTTAACCAGTTAATCAGGAAAAGCAGAATATACTGCCAGTGAAAGGCCAACAGCTGTGAAAACGAAATATGAGCAAGAACATCGATGATTATACCAGAGCTGAGCTTACAACCAAGTAAATGTGAATTTTATTTGAGTAAAATCTCGCTCTGACTTCTTTTCTGGGTGTTACACTTAGTCCCTTAACTAAAGTGGGGAGCTTGGAGGCTGAGAGACCTGTGTAGACCGTGGTTCTAGCTCTCTGAAACTGCTCTTCAGTTTCTCATCTCTGAAATGAGTAAACTGGAATTCTGGCTTTAAGCACCTGCCTCTGTGAACACCATCAGGGTATGGCAGGAAGTCTGTTCGGCCTGAGAATGTGTGAGTCCACCAGTGCCTGATTTCAGGCCCCACTCTGCTGGGGTTCAGTGCAGAATAGGCTGCTGCATTTTTCTCTGTCCAGAGGCACCCTACCTCCTAGAGTAACTCTCTCTTAAAACCAGTGATGGTTTGTTACTGTGATTTTTTAAGCCACCTTAAGGGATGACTGCATATTAAATGAGGAGAGGTCTAGAGCTGTTGGGGTCAAACCCAACAGCCTGTGGGCTTATCTGCAGCCTGCAGTGGAGTTTTGTTTGCTCAGAAGTATTTTTTAGCAGCTGCCAACTTTAAAATTGAGACATAAAGTCTAGATTTCTGAATCCTCTTGGAAAACATCAGAAGATCCCACACCTTGTGGCTTTTGTTTCCATGAGGCAGTAATAAAACCAGAGATGACCCCTATATTAGCTTATTCCATCCTCACAAAACCTTGAACTAGATAGCGATCGACTATCATTGTTCCAATTTGCAGACAGGGAAACAGGTCAAAGGAGAGTCTTGATTCAAACCCAAGACGCATGGAAACTGAGTTAATGGAGTTCACGTTCCACTCAAGACTCCACGCTGCTAGATTAGCATGGATGATAGACAGTGAGGCCACCCTGCTCCACTCCCCTAGGGACAGGCAGCATCTGAAACCTTCTGCGCTCCCCCTCTTTCCCATACACGGAAGCACTTACGGTCAAGGCCATTGATGTAGCGCATGGTGACTTCACAGTGGCCCCATACCGCACTCACCACCGGGTACAACTTCTTGCCTTTGAGACCACGAAAGGCCACACCCAGGTACTGGCCGTCCACCACAAAGCTAAGTGTGCCCTCATCCATGTCCAGCACCACCAGCAGCGAGTCAGGCAGCGAGAAGGCCTCCTCTGGCCCCAGAAAGGCTGGGTAGGCCACTCCAGGTCGGTTCTTGCCATCGTGGTAGAGGCGACTGCGGCCCAGGTCCCAGCCCCATGACTCGGAGTCACTGCCCACCAGTGCCGTGTAGCCCACCGAATGCAGGGGTGCCCGAGCCGTGGCCACGCCAACTACGGCATGGGTGCCACGCTGCCGCGCAGGCCAGTGGATCTGCCAAGCATGTAGGCCACGGGCATGGCCCACTTTGCCTCGGATGCCGTCAGTGCTCTGAGCTACTGGGTGCCGGTGGAAGGTGAGCCGGTCATCATCCTTGACAAAGACATTGAGTGAGCGGTCCTCGGGGTTCCACGCGTGCCGCAGCTGCACTGCTAGCCCCGCCGCCGGCATGTCCAACAGCTGGTCCAGCCGCGCAGGCCTCCCGGGTTCCACACCCCGCAGCTCCCTCTTGGCTGGCCGCAGCGCTGGCTCTCGCACCTCCACCGACTTGAGGCTTCCAGAGAGCTTCTGGCCCATGGTTCAGAGCAGGGAGGGGACCGCTGCAGGCCTCTGCTACCTCGTGGGAGTTTCCACTTCCCGCAGCCAGGGAGGGGCCACTGGGCTGAGAACCAGGCTTCGGGGCTGTACAGTTCCACAGCCTCTACTGGGCTGGGGCAGGGGCCCAAGCTCCTGGAAGGAAGCAAAGGGCATGAGTTATAACAGCAGCATCAACAGCATTTATGCCCAGGCCTTGGCTGAGCCATTTGCATGCATTAGTCATAATAATTATTAATAATAATATTTCATCCAGTATTTGCCATATTCCAGGCACTGTCCTAAAAGATTTATGTTTATTAATCCATGTAATTTTTAGGATCTCCCTATAAGACATAGAGGAGGCATTTTTCAGATGAGAAAACTAAAGAGCAAAAAAAATTAAGTAATTAACCAAAGTTCCACAACAAATAAGGGGCTAGGTCAAAATTCAAGCCAAGGTCATCTGGCTTCAGAATCCATGGTCTGCACTTAGAGTAATCATAGGCTATTTTATTTTGCTTTATTTATTTTTACTTTTTATTTTTTAGGTTATTTTTGGCAATTTAATTTTAGAAATAAGTTTGAGTCCAGAGAAGTTAAGTGATTTGCCCAAGATCACAGCTCCTGCAGAAGAACCCAGGTGCATCTGATTCTAGGGGTACAAGACCTGCCTAGGGAAACACAGTGCCCAAGACATGGGGGCCACAGAAGCATCCAGTGTAGCCCAGGGCTCCTGTCCTTGGCTGCCCTAGGGATCTTAAAGGGCATTTAAAGTGCAGCCAGACTTGAAACCTAAGACATAACCTGAGGATCCACAGATCACCAGGACATGAACACATGGCAAAGATCTGAGGATGGAGTGGGGTCTCCCAGGGAAGGTGAGTGGGAGGCAGGGAACTAGGCATCTGGTATCCAGGCTTTAGAGTCAGCAAATCCAAACCCTCCCTTCTATCTCCCAGCTGTGTGTTCACAAGCAAGTCTCTCAGCCTCTCAAAGGCTACAGTTTCAATATGACAATATGAGAGACAACAGCATGGAGGGGCAGGCCTGAGGCTCTGTGGGCAGGTTTTCCTCTTGGGTTCTACACTTTGGGCATCCCACATATACCCCTTCCTTTTGAATGGGCAAACTTTTCGTTTGGGTATTTACACACCATAAATTGCATTGATCCCAGACAACCTCCTTTGAGGCAGCACTATGGTTTCCAGAAAGAAGGAAGTAGCAACCATCACTTAGAGAACAGTCAGAACATAGGGTGCTTGCACAGGCCCTGGGAGCGGGGAGGGATGGAAAGCTGAGTCCTGCAGTCCATTCAAAGCACAGGCACTAGCCCTTCCCTCCCCGCCCTGACAACCGCAAGGGTCAGAAAAACCTCCCAAGATAATCTAGGAGACAGGCATTTTTTATGCCCTGCCCTGCCCATCCATGTCCTCCCAACCCAACAGTGGCATACTCACAGTCACTGTGCAGGTGGAGAAGGAAAGAACCTGGCTGTCATACAGCCCAGGCAGCTATATTTTTAAACTCTCCTCATTTATTTTCAACTCCCATTTTTTCCCTTTCTACTGTCAAACCCAAGGTTTAGCTTATGCTGACCCTATCCAAAGAGCTTAGGCTCATGTTTAATCTGGGAAAATACCAGAACACAGGATGCGGCAACACTAGATCATTCTAAGATAGCAGAATAAAGTTATTTCTTTTCATATTCCAAATCACCCAAAATACAGGAGAAAGAGACATACAAAGTCTATTTTTACAATACCAGAACGCATCTGTAACTGATCCACCACTTATAGGGAAAGGTTGCCAACATTGGTAAGGAGCTGCCAAAAGCAGCAAAGATCCAGTGGGGTGTGCGAAAGCACCTACAGAAAACAACTGTGGCTGCAGAGCTCAGATAAAGCTGGCAGAGCTGTCTAGTAGCTGGCACTTCCTGAAGGAAAAAAACAAGGATTCCTAATCAGAAACAATAGGGACAGAGTATGTGGTCTGGCAATGGGAGTTATCTCTGACACCCTGAGGCAAGAGGAGGACAAGACTAATGAAGGAATAAAACAAGGATTCCTAATCAGAAACAATAGGGGCAGAGTATGTGGTCTGGCAATGGGAGTTATCTCTGACACCCTGAGGCAAGAGGAGGATGAGACTAATCAAGAAAAACATAGGCATGCCATCTTTGCAGGAAGCAGTATGTTGGTGAGGCAGAGTAAAAGAAAGCCCCACACTAGGGAAGCCCACAGCTGCAGAGCTCTGCTGACTGGGTAGAAGTAAGGCTAAAAGAAAACACTGCAGAGTCCTGGAAACAAAATTACTGTGAACCAAGGAGCAAGTTTGCTCTCCTAAGGTACTTCCATCTCTAGGCATCCCCTGCAAAATACTGATGTAAGAAAGCTCACCTCTTTGAAAGATGCTGATGTTGTCAAAGATGCTGGAGGAAAAACAAAGGAGAAAAAGAATAAGAAAAAATATGGCAACCAAGAAAACTCACCAGAAAGAAGGCTATATAAAGCAGATAAAAATTGTTACCAGATTTGTTAACTAACTTCATAATCACTTATTTCAGAAGAGACAAGTATAATCTAAAAAAAGAAAAGATTAAGTGTATTTGACTTAGTTTTAATGACGACCTCCAGAAGAACCAAAAACATGTATGTTTGAATTGTCAGAAAGAACACTATTCAAAACAACACAGACCAAAAACTTAAGATTTTGTTTCAGAAAGTAACAGAAGCAAAAAAGACAGACATAAAACAGGATAGTAAAACTAAGACCAGAATACTGTCTATGACTATAACAAACTGCTAAAAAGAAAATCTTTCAAGATAGAATGCTACATATCAAGATCCAGAATAAAGCAACAGTGTTGACAATAAAGGAAGAGCAAGCATATACCAGATTGGTGCTTCCTCAAACCAACCAGGCACCATAACCTTAATACTAGTATGAAAGGCTGAGTTCAGGGCAAATGATTTTAAATGAGAACACTACAACAATAAAAGAATATGACCCCCAATCGAAGATCTAACACATTGAGGAACAGCCCTAAAATTCAGAGCAAAAGTCAAAGGAATACAAGGAAGTATAGACAGATACTCAGTAGAGGCAGATGATTTTAAATAATCTTTGAAGGAACAGATCAGTGGACCAAATTAGGTAAAGACAAAGTTGCATAGTTAATAAGATAGACATAATTGATGTATATTTCAAAAAAATTACCATATATTAGACAGCAAACAAAATCTCACCCAAAAAGTAGAAATAATACAGAATCTGATAACAGAAGCAAAACTAAACATTAATCAAATAATGGCTTACAAAACTCTACCACGTGCACATTTTTCAAATCGCTCTTTTAAACAACCCAGATCAAGAAAGATTTATTTGGAAATTGCAGAATACCTAGAAAATAAGAATAACAAAACACATTCTACATATCAGAACCTGTGGAATCCCACTAAAGTTAAGGAAATCATGACTGGTGTACTTATATTAATAAATAAAAAAAAGTATGCATATTATACATAATAAATAGAAAACAAATGAACTAATTGAAAAATCTGAGTTTTGTGGAGGGTAAAACCCCCAAAAACCAGTAAAACATATAAATCATTTAATTCAACTATTTAATTGATTATATTGTTATTAATCATATTACTTCTATTAATCTACCACATTGATAGCATATATCCTTGATATCACAGCCTTCCTCTCCAAAACCCATAACTTTAGCCTAATCATGAGGAAAACACAGGACAAATGCCAATTGAGGAGCATCAACAAAGTATCTGACCAGTACTCCTCAAAATCGTTAGCACCATCAAAGACAAGGAAAGTCTAAGAGACTGGTCACAGCAAACGGAGCCCCAGGACACTTCACTGCTAAATGTAACATGGTGTCCGGGAGGGGATCCTGGGATATTAAAACTAAGGAAATCTGAATCAAACATGGCCTTTTGTAACCACATATCAATGTTGGTTCATTAGCTGTGATAAATACACCTTATTAATATGAGATGTAAATAATAGCGAAACTGGGTGCAAGTATATGAGAACTCTGCACTATCTGCTCAGTTTTCTGTATATCAAAAACTATTCTAAAAATCTAGTTAATTAAAGATATTAAATCACTTTCTAAACATTAGAAAACTGAAAAACTGTACAACTAAAATCACCTCTTCTCTCATTAACCAGATATAAGCATTGTTAACATTTAGAAATACTTCATTTTATTATTTTTTTTTTGGTCTACAAATATTAGTGAATTTTCTTTTCTAAGACTGGTATCATGGATTTTGAAGTTATTTCACTGAAAATTAAACAATGAACATTTTCACATATTATTCAATATACTTTAAATGTATGACTTCAATGACTAAGAAAATAAAAGATATAAACCATTTATAACTAATCATTTAAAATGGGGGCGAGGGCCTGTGGGGGAAGAAGACAAAAATTTGTAAATAAGAAATGAAAATATGCAAATAAGAAAATAAGAATTGCAAATAGCCTAATGGTGTCACAAAAAGTACTCATAAAAGAAATTAAACGTGTTTGTTGTTTGAACATGGGGAAATATTTGCAACACAAATTACAAATAAATATATGACAAGCTCCTATAAATGAGTAAGCAACCAACCCTAACACAAAAAGAAAAACAAAAAGCTCCTCTAAAAAGAAGTTCTGCTAAAGAGAAACAAGTTAGAGCTCAAAGGAAATGTGTTGGTATCTCAGAATAGTGAAGATCAAAAGGTTGGATAACACCTTCTTAGAGAGGCAGACAGGCTCAAACACTGTTATTAGAGGTAAAATGGTGTGACCTCAGCACATGGCAAGTCAGTACCGTCTCTCAGGGTTGCAAATACACATTTGACTTCGTAGTTCCACATCCAGTAGTTCAGGTATGTTCTCAAATGTGCAAAATTATATATAAAATATATAACATACATAATAGAATAGAGTGCACAATATACATATAATATATATAACATGTATTGTGTAGAGGTTATATAATACATAATATGTATATGTGTTTATATAAAGTATATATTACGTACATATGCAGTATTGTTTATAACAGCAAAATATTAGGAAAAACCCAAACTGAAGACAGAATAATTTTTTTTGCAATAGGTTCTGCTTTTATTGAATTGAAG